GGGGCAGGGGGGCGCGGGCAGCGCGCGGGGCGGCGCTCCCCCCGCCCCGGGGTGACGGTTTAACGGCCGCCGCGCCGCGGGGCTGGGCTGCGGCCGCGTCGCGCGCGGCCTGACGCGTGGCGCCCGCCTTGCAGGGTCGCTGCCATGGCTCCCGCGAAGAAGGGCGGCGAGAAGAAGAAGGGGCGCTCGGCCATCAACGAGGTGGTGACGCGCGAGTACACCATCAACGTGCACAAGCGCATCCATGGCGTGTGAGTGCCCGCCCTGCCCCGGGCCGCGGGAGCGGCGGGAGCCGCGTAGCCAGTGCTCGCGGGCCAGTGCTGCGTAAGGAGCAGCAGCTCTGTGGCTGATGGAGCGCCGGAGCCCAGAGCTCCGCAGCAGCCGGGTGATGGAGGGGGCTGCTCTAAAGCTCTTCTCTCCCGTGGGCACCTTTTCAGTGTGAACAGCTGCAGTCACATGGAAGAAAACTGCGTGCAAAGCAGTTACCTAGACTGCTAATGTGAGCTTAGAGGGGAGTGAGTGTTTGTAGCAGTTTGCTTTAGTCTTCATGCTGATGGTCCTGTTCTAAGGTTCACTCCYCTATTTTGGCAGAAGGGTGAAATAGGTTATGTTTAATGCTTCTGTCATTGGCATCACTTCCCCCCCCCCACTGATTTCTAGCCCCAAATTCCAGAAGCAAGATATTATTCAGCAGAAGCTGTCACTTAAAACAGCACTGCTGTGTGGATTTTTTTACCACTGACCTAGTTCTGTGTGGGTTACGTTACTGTTACTGCCCAGTCCCTCGTAGGCCCTTACGTATGAGCTGTGTCCCTTCATGGGTACTGGCAAGAAGTCAGGATGCCAGCGGAGAGTTGAAGCCCTAAGAGAACTCGGGAGTTGTAGGATCTTGCTGAAATTGTTCCCTCTAGCTGCACGTTGTTCCTGTTAGGGGCACACATTGAGGCTGGTGGATATTTGCTACAGCCAAAGTCTGATGGTGGTCTGGTGCAGCCGAGCAGTGACCAAAACTTCCCAGAGTGTGTGTGTGTGTGTGTGTGTGTGTGTGTGTGTGTGTGTGCAGAGAGGGGAGCGGTGGGAGTGCCGGGAGCACTGGGAGGTTGCTGAGGTTAAAGAGCTGCCCTATGTTTGTGCCAGGGGCTTCAAGAAGCGGGCGCCRCGCGCGCTCAAAGAGATCCGCAAGTTCGCCATGAAGGAGATGGGCACCCCCGACGTCCGCATCGACACCAGGCTCAACAAAGCCGTCTGGGCTAAGGGAATAAGGTGCGTTCCTGAGGAGTGAGGGCCCTCGCTGCGGCTCTCCTCGCGGGCTGGGAAAGGAGTTGCACCTGTGTGTTCGGAGGTGCAGGATTCAGAGGGGTAGMGAAGGTTGTATCCTTCTTCTTGTCCTTGCATTTCCGTTGTGTTTCGTTTCCGACAGTACGTCTGAGGGGGTAGCATCGTGGCAGGGACTGTTTCCTCTGGTAGCAAAGCTGTTTCTTCCTTCACCTCTGTTCTACCAAGCTGCCTCACTGAACTTGTGGCAAAGCTCAAGTAAACTCGGGAATGGGAAGATCTCTCCTTTTCCTMTGAGGGGGGCAAACAAAAAGAAGGAGAGGATGAGGATTTGGSCAGAGAACTCCCAGGGCAGGGCTGTGGAGGCTGTTGGAGCAGCCAGTTCGGGGGCACCTAGCTCTTAGTGACACCTGAAGGTACCTGGGATTGGTGTCACGTGCCAGGATGGAGGTACTGACTGACCAGCRCTACGCAGCATGTTGAGGGGTGTTTTGAACAGGGCTGTTAAGCCTGACTTGAAAGTACAAGTGAGAAGTCATTTGGGGATGGGGAGAAAACTTAAATGCCAAATTAACCACCTTTAATGCATATGAAAGTGGCCTGATTGTGAGGAGCGGGACCTCTTAGACTGTACTAAAATGGGCAGAAACAGCCGGTGCTTGTAAGCGATGACCCTGCCACCCAGAGGCAGGGCTTGCTTGGAGCCCTTGGGAATGAGGTGCCCAAGTCCGGCCTTGCTGGGCATCCACACCCCTGCCCTGGAGCTGGGGGTGAGCCCGCTCGCTTCTCCTGCTTTGTGCTGGCTCTGATTTAGAGTGAGCGCTCTGAGACTGCAGAGCAAGGAGGACTTTCCTTTTTGTGCTCTACAGAAGAGTGTGCTCAGTTCGCACAGTCTTGAGTTTATTTGAGGTGGGAAAGTCCTTGAAAAATGGTGTGGCCAGAATGTTTTGTGCCTCCCTGTAGCAGTGTGAGGGGAGGGAACCAAGCTGGGACTTGCTTGCAAGAGCAAAACCTTTCACGTAATTTAGTTGTTGCTGCAGAGGCTCTGTGAGGAGGAACTGTTGTTGAYAGATGGTGTAACCAGAAAGGGGACCTGGGTTCCACAGTCAAATGCTCGAGTTACCACCTGACTCCATGCATAGAGTTTGGATGCTGCAGCTCTGACAGGGGCACCAGGCTTTCAGAACAGATTATTTTTTGGCTTGCTCATTATTTTCTGTWCAAGTAGAAAATGCAGATCAACTGCCTGCTGATGCTCTTACCTTCCTCMCACCTTCCATAGCATTTTTCTAGGGCTGCTTGTGTTTCCATCTTTACCACTCTGGCTGAATTATGAGCCCTCATTTTATTTGGGGCTCTGTTAAATCTTAAAAAAGAGCAACAAAAAAGCAGATAGTTCTCTATGGCAGAGCAGTTGTCCTCTTGTAATGCCAAGACAGGTACAGACTTGACTCCTGCCTTTTTGTGTAAGTACATACAGCTTAAGAATTTTGAGGTTAGAAACCGTGGAGAGAAGAACCTTAACTTCCCTTTTCTGCTGTGGACTGTGCTGTTTTCATGTGTATTTTGTTGAAAATGAAACTGTATCCATGTCTCGTCCTTGGTAGGAACGTTCCTTACCGCATCCGCGTGCGCTTGTCCAGGAAGCGCAACGAGGACGAGGACTCGCCGAACAAACTGTACACGCTGGTCACCTACGTGCCCGTCACCACCTTCAAAGGTCAGGGCCCTGCTCTCTCCTTCCTCCCTGCCCTCTCCTTCTGAACAAGCAGCCGGGTCCGGCGGCTCCTCCTGCGCTGCAAAACTCCCATGGAAAGCACATTGAGGGGCCTGATGATGAGGGAGCTGCCTTCAAAGCCAAGTGCAGGATGAAAGCTGAGTGCAGGATTTAGTGAAGTTGCACATGAATTCTGAGAGAATTCAGAGTTTTGTCTTAATAGTTGAAGCACTTGTGCATCGACTTTGTTCTCTGAGAACCAAAGCAGAAACCTGCCTTTGAAACCCCAAGTGCTCTTCATTGYCAAGCTTTGCATATATTTTTATATAAAACTGTGTGTGTGTGTGGAATTGTACTGATAATAGGTAACGATGCTTTCTTATTTGCTTGTTTTGCAGGTTTACAGACAGTCAACGTGGATGAAAATTAAATTGGATTTTAATTACAATAAAACTGTAAAAATGTTTATTCTGACTAAGGTTTCTTGCTGACTCATGTTTTCAAGGACTCAGTCTAAGAAGAATTGAGCTGAGCAGGTGAGGAGCTGTTTCACTGTTTTGGGGCTTGCAGGGAGTGGTACAACACTTGTATTTTTAAATCCTTTCCACCTTTGTTAGCTGCGAGTGAAAGGAGAGGACCCTGGGAATWTATGGGTGACAGAGTCCCACCTTTTGCTCTTTGGGGACTTAAGAGCCACTAGACAGGGATTTTAAGTTGAAGGCCAACTTGCAGAAGATGGTCAAAGGAGATGAGCACGTCAGAGCTGTACCCTGCCGCAGCAAAGGCTGCTCTCCACATTGGGTCTCCTCCTGGTCTTTGTGGCAGTCRGGTGGCTCCTCCCAAGCAGGAAACTGAAAGAGGAGATTCCGACCAGTGAACTAAGGGGGAAGGCACCAGCTCAGGAAACTGAGTTYAATCCAACAGGGATAAGGGCCCTTACCTTGCGTCGATCAAGAAATGATGTCACCACACCTCTAGTACAAAAAGGGTTTATTGAAAAGTGCATGTTTTCACAGACCAACATCAAGAGCACAGTCCATGTACACTTAACATTTCAGCAAGACATAAAACTGGGCTATGGTCAAATATATTAAAATAGTTTCAATTACCAGCATTGAAACAAGTTTTTCAGTATTAGTGCAAAAAAGGCAACCCAAACAGACTGCAGACAGTAGCTGAGAAGTGTTTTCCCCGTTTTTAAAAAAAAAATATAGAAATGGAGCCAGCCTGTGCTCTCCCGTAGAGAAGAGGGCTGCAGCATCTTCACACTGCAGCCAGATGTTTCCTTTTACATTCAGAAGAGCGTCATGAATCAAGGGCACGCAACAACCTGCGCCCCCTTCAGCTTTTAAAGCTCTGCCGCTGGCCGGGGCAGGCCAGCAAGGTGTTGGCGCGGCGCGCGCTGCGGGCCGGAGCCCCGGGGCRGCTGTGCCCTGGTGCCAGTTCAGCTACTGCTGCGCGCCCGCTCTCGTGTGCTCCCCTCGCGCCGGGCAGCCCGCGGCGCTCGCCTTCAGGCTGTACTGGTTCAGCTTCGCGCTCTCCAGCTTCGGCTTCAGCTCCAAGGGTCTCTCAAAGAAGTTCACCAAGGACTGTTCGGTCAGGAGGGAGGCCAAAATATGCTCGAAAGAGACGGTCCAGTCGCCCTGGGCCACCGGGGAGGGGTGCGAGTCTTGGGGAGGGGTCTTCACAGTGTCGACAAAAACAGCGTCCGGCTCTGTCGCCGGGGCCTCGGGCTGCGCGTCCTCGGCGAGCTCCTCGGAGCCGCTGCCCAGGCTGAGGCTCCTCTGTCCCACCTCTCCGATCTGCAGCAGCAGCGTGGTCACGGTGGCAATGGCCTGGTATAAGTCGCTCTCCTCCGGATCTTCGTGGAACATGCTGTACAAGGTTTTGCAGAACTGAATGAATTCCCTCTGGAAGGCAGGAAAAGCTGTAAAATGGGGCTGCCGGACGGCCACCGTCAAGCAGAGCTGAAGCGAGGCAGGAGAGAGCACAGTGCTGCAGAGCAAGGCGGGCTGCTGGGTACGGCCACGCTCATTCATAACCCGGCTTTGTAAAAAAAATACTAGGAGGATCTGAGCCATGGACTGAAACAAGCCCTGGCAGCGCAAGTCAAGAGAGGAACAGTATTTTGCTGCCTTAACCAGAACCAGGGATTAGAAGCGCATACACAAACCAAGGGCAAGTAAGAGGAATGCCCAGGGTGGCCCTTATTGAGAGTAAAATTAGCGCAGAAAAAGCCACCTAAAGGCTTGGAAGCTTTTTCTTCATCCCTTCCCAACTCCTTTCCTTCTAGTAACACTTAGACCTCTCTGCAGTCCAATCCCTTCTCACCTTCCCTCCAGGAGCCATCCCTCTTGCCTACCACCCTATAGAGCAGTGTTCTATAATTCACACACTGTGTGGGGGGAATCTGTGAGCCCCTCATGTTCATGGACGTTATCAGTAAGGCCGTTTGTGAGGGGGCTCCAGCAGGCAGGGGGTTGGCGAGAGGCCCCGTGGCCCTGCTGGGCTGAAAGCCTTGGCACACACAGGGATGGCCCCCCTGGCCTCCCTGGACACCACAGGGATGGCCCCCTGGCCTCCCTCATGCCACCACTGGTGCCTCCTGGAAATGCAGGGGGCTCCTGGCCCTGAGGAGGGAGGTGGGGGGCAGGAAGGCAGCGTTTGGCTGAGCTGGGGCAAGCCCCACGTCACGCTGCGCTGGGAGGGGGGAAGGTTTGTTGCCTGAAAGGCAGAACAGTGAAACATTCTCCTAGGTTTACAGGAATGCTCTGAGCTTAGGAGGGGAACRGCTTCTTTCCAGCTTGCACCACCTCTTAGGGCATGAAATTCTCTGTATTCATCAGCCACTCTGAGGAGGAAGAGCCCCTGGCAAAGGAGCAGAGAGCTCGTGAACATCCTTCCTCTCCAGTTATGAACAGTCCACATAGAAAACAAGTGTCACCACAAACTGGAGCACCAGAAGTTCCACAGGAACTTAAGGAAAAAATTCTTAACAGTGAGGGTGCCAGAGCCCTGGCACAGGCTGCCCAGGGAGGCTGTGGAGTCTCCTTCTCTGGAGGTCTCCAGACCCGCCTGGATGCCGCCCTGTGCCCCGTGCTCTGGGAATCCCTGCTGGGGCAGGGGGCTGGACTGGATGATCTCTAGAAGTCCCTGAAGAAACCTTAAGGATTCTATAATTCTATGAACTAAAAGACTTAATTTAAATTAGGCTTTAAATTACACACACACATGGGAAACTAAAAAAAGGACAAACCAGCTGCATTTAGTCTCATCTTTTTTGATCTCTTCCCACTTCTTCACAAATTGGTGTCAGCCCCTGCTATACATACCTGGCTCATTTTTGGCAATTCCTTTTCAGTTTTAGTATCCTTTTCTTTGGCAAGGTCCCTAAGCATCTGCTTCAACTGCTTTTGGTAATCTACTGCATCCCCTTGTGTGGAACAGACACAAAAATTAGTTTATTATTATTTCTGTTATTAATTGCATTAATTATATTATTTATTGTTAGTATTTATCATTTCTAAGCCAATTACAATAAATTCATATTTCAAAATAAAACTCAGAGAGGGGAAATAAACAAGTGGGAAAACCAAATGGAAAGTTGGATATATCACCCACATGCACACCCATCAGAGGGCCATTGGAGCCATACCGTTTGATTTTCCAATAACCAGTGGTCTTGAAGTTGACAGCAAAGGATTCTTTAATGGTGACTGGCTGTCTCTCTCATCTTCCGTGAGAGCTACATTAAAAAAAGAAAGAAGTGAGAAATACAGTGACTGATCTTTCCAACGTTACATAACGATTAAAAGCTTTTAAAATAATAAGAGGCTATGGTCGAGGGCTCTTTAAACAGTACTTTGTTAAATCACAGTGTAAAATTACGTTGAAATAAGACTGGGGCTGCAGTGGAGGAGTAGGAAGCTCGCCAAGAAAGGCACATTAGTGGAGAGCTTCGTGCATCAAAGAAGCTCCAACAAAAACGTGTCAGCCCAGCACGACAGGATCAAACAGCACGAAGGAGATTTCTTACATAAACGGAGTCCCRGCCATGCAGGATTTCTAATTCCAACCTCACCTGCAAGTGGCTACACAACTGACTGCGAACAGGCTGCAGCAGACGGGAATCTGAATGTTTTTCTAAAAATTTCATCCCTGCWCCAGAAAGTTCCAATTTCAGGGGTTTTAAATTGCAGTGAACATAGTTACACAGACAGGTCCTAGGCGCTCCCAGCCAGGGAAGCAAGGTAAGGCTCTTCATTAAGCAGCCTTTCCCAAAAGTTTTAGGCCAGAAGTTGTAAGGAAAATACTCTTTTTTTTTTTTATTTTTTCCTCTCCAATGTCTTACCAGGCGGGATATGCAGCTTATACAACAGCTTTATCTTTTCATTCATTTCTCCGTTATACATAACATCTGCAAGGAACAAAACCAAAGATCACACGGAGGGAACGGGCCGGAGCATTTCCTTGCACCGTTTAAAACAAGCCCCTCATCTCTGCACACAAAGGGAGCGGTGTCTGCAGGAGGACCCAGGCAAACCCTTGGCCAGGACGCTGCAAGGAGAGTCCAAGTTGTGCCCGATGGAGGAGCAAAGCAGGTGCCAACCAGCTGCGGTGTTCTTTGTTCTTGCAAAAGAGACTGCAGTACTTAACTCTGGGGAACTTGTTAATCATCCTTTAAAAATACCAGAGAGGACGTTGGGRATGGAGCAAAGGCTGTTTGTTGCCACAGATTAACAAGAATGGGAGAGGGGAGACACATGAAGCTCCTTTCCTTTAGGGCCATATTCTTAATGTTTCTTCCTGTTCTATAGARTAAGTCCAAAATAGTTAAGACTTTCACATGTGACGTAACTAATTTTTAATGACAAGAGAAATGAGATTCTAAACTTTCAAATGCATTATAGTAATGTGAATAGCTTAAAAAAAAGTATCCCTGTAATACTCAAAATCACATCCTAGTATAATCTAGGTGAGCCTGGTTCACATCAAAGAGTTTTTGAAAGCTGAAGTGGTGAGAACACAGATTTACTGACTTTACTGAATCTTTTGATACTGATTCTTTTTTTTCTTCTTTTTTTTCTCTCTTTTTCTTTTTTTTTATGGGTCACTCATCTTCAGCAAAGTTTTGGAACACGCAGTCCCATGCCATGAAACAGCTGGAGGCCTGGAGAACAAGGTCTCTGCTGGCCGCATGCTTTCATTCTGCTGCCTGCTGACGTGTGGGTCAGGCACGGGTCTGCTCTGCGAGGTTACATGTCAGGTCTTCAAGGAGCAGTCAGAGAGACGTTCAGGTTACAGGGGCTGAATGGAGCAAGCAGGTAGGAGCGGGGACTGTTCMATGAATTAGCTGGAGAGCACTAGTTCCATGAGCTGCGCTTCCCCAGAAAGGAAAGCCAGGCTGTTTACACCCTGTTCTCTCAGTCACATCCTGCTCTCCCATCCGCATCCCACCCAAACGCCCCCGGCGCGCCCCGCGGAGGCCGATACCCAGGCAGGAGGCGAGCGCCTTGAACTCGATGAGCCGGTCGCCGCTGCGGTCCAGGAGGCGGAAGGTCCTCTCGGCCAGCACGGCCGTGTGCTCCCCGCACGCCCAGGGCGAGAGGAGCGCGTAGAGGCCGCGGAACTGCCGCCCGTCGATGCGGTACTGCTCGGCGTAGGGCCTGCTCGGGTCGTGGCGCTCGCCCGCGCCGCCCGCCGCCTCCCAGTAGCACCTGAGGAAATGCTCCCTCTAGGAGAGAGCAGAGGGGGAGTGGAGCGGGGTTGCCGGGGGGAGTGGGGCCGGTTGGAGCAGCGCTCGCGTCGAGGGAAGCACCGAAATTCCGTGTGCGGGGGGGCAGTGGGGAGAGCAGGAGCGCTCCTCGGAGGAGGACGGGGAGCAGGAGCCTTCAGCGGGAGCAGCCAAGCTCRCTCACGGGTCCCAAACTCACTGCAGTTGCTGAGGCTCCATGTCCGGCCTGGACACCTCTATCCCTTAAACTGTACAAAGGACTGCGGAAAATTCAGGATGCCAGAAATACTTCACGTGCTCATTTGTTCTCTCTGACCTGTTTGGATACTGCTCCTATTTATCTCCCTTTAGGGGCCAGCTGATGTAAAAGAGGATCCTAAGGAAACAAAGTGTCCCAGGGAAGAAAAGAGGCAAGGAAACCATACGAAACCAAATGAGGAAAGGGAAGAGGAGCAAGCGAGTGCAAGATCCAACAGGGAGCAGCACAGAGGAGGAGGAGGAGGGAAGCACTGGGGAGCAGGGTCCTCTTGTGCAGCACCCTCCTAGGACGAGTGATGGAGGGAGGATAACACTGAATGATCACGGCATTAATGCTGCCCTTACTGCAGTTATGGCAAGAGTTCCACTGCTCTTAGATTGCTGGTCAGCCGCATAAAGGACCACACGGTAAATTGAGTAACGCTGCACAAGCAGATGAACCCCCTGAGCAATTCCACACACAGCATCCCATTCGGTYCTGCCAAGCAAAGGCTGGAAATGGCACCCGGAAGCCTCCAACAGCCTCATCCCCAAACTTCCAAGTAGACAGACCTTGAACAAGTCATACAACTCCTCTAAATCTTCAGGAAGAAGCGAAACGTCTGGGATGACAACTCGGAGCTAGAAAAGGAAATAAAAAGCAGAGGTCAGTGAGGATCCCTCCTACTGTCACCGTCGACACCGGCAGGACCCCCGCGCTCTCCCAGCGATGGTCCCGACGCTGACAGCTCCAGCTGCAGCCCTGCAGGTCCCTGCAGCTTCCCCCTCCCTGAGATTCCCTGGTTGGACAAACCCATGGAAGAGAAGTCCCCGCAGGGCCGCTACAAACAAAGCCAGGAAGCCTAAGCCGTGGGTTGCAGGAAGCCGGGGAAGCCTCACGTCACGCTCACTCTCATCTTCAGCTTCTTAAGCCGAGCCTTAGGCTTCGCTTAGGGCCACATTGACCCAGCAGCCCCTTCTCGATGTTGGAACAACCCTGAAAGGCAACGCGCTCGGCTGCCAGGAAAGAACAAGGACACCTGGGAACAAAGGCATCGGGGAAAAGCTGTCTGGTTTCCAGAGCCAGTGGCGACTCTTCCTTTTCTCCTGGACTTCAACCCAAACTTCCGGACTTGAAACCAAACCAAAACACTAACGTGCAGTTGGTGCGAGGTTGGGGCGTTGAGCTGCTACCACCCCAGCAACCCCCTGCTCACCACATTTTGCTTGGTGGTGTCTTCGTGGCTTTGCAGAACACGGATCCTGTGTTTGTAGCGCATGTGCTCTATCTGCTCCACTGAGTGGTCTCCAAATTTCTAGAGGGGAGGAACAGAATTTGGTGAGACCAGAAAGAAATGCAATTTGGAAAACACTGTGAATCCTTAAAAAACCTACAGGCTAAAGAATATCTGGTCTCTTACTCGCCTACCAATGTAGTTGTATTCATACAACGTAGACATTTATACTATGTTGTGCATTTGAGCACACATYCGAGGATTCCTTAAAGATTTGCACCAACTAAGAAAAYACCCATGATGAATTTAACCCCCTTAGATCATAATTCACCCCATCAACAGGCACCAAACAGTAYCTTACCTCATAGGAATCATGAATCAGGTTAGCTATTTCCGTCACGGGAGAGGCTTCCTCGTCGTCACTGAAGAACGCGTGGTGGTTGCCAATGGGGGGCAGAGGACTCTCCTCGTTCTTCACGTGCTCTAGAAACCTAGCGGGAACAAACGCAAGCAATACAGAGCACTGTGCAGCACGCTCTTCTCTAGGCACAATCTAAACAAGCAAACACGCCTTATGGCTCAGGCTTAGAAGAAATAAACTGTTTTTTCAGGCTGCTCGCCTTGTCAGAACCATCGTTGTTATTAGCCAGCCCGGGAACAGCCAAATAACTCAACTTTTCCCAAGAAAAAGCCCAGAGTGGGCAGCCTGTCGCTGCAGGGAGCACCGCGGCTCCCCACGTCCAAATACCTGCTGAGGATCATCAGGGCCTGGCCGTCGTCCTTGCTGTTGCACAGATCCACYGCGTTGGCTTCCAGGATGGCCAAGCCCAGCTGGAAGATGGCTTTGATCCCGTCGTAGAAAAAGCAGTCGACCACGTTGACGGCGCTTTCCAGGGGCATGATGCTGAGGAAAAGGGTGAGGAACCACGAGAGAGAGATGGAGGCTAAGGCGGTCAGGTCCTTCATATGCTCGGCCAGCTCCGGGAGCTGCTCCTTGATAAGCTCTTCAAACACGGACTGGTCAACCTGGGCACCTGCAGGTCACAGGGAAACAGCGTCAGGCGGGACTGAAGCCACAAAACTGCTCCTTCAAGCTGAAGATCACTGGCAGGTACCAATGCCAGGCCTGGAGGCAGCTGAACAGAGGAGACACGCCGTCTCTTCCCAGCAAAACCCCGTGATCTTCCTGCCATCACCTCGGCCCCAGCCCCACGGCTGCCCTCCTCACCGTGCACCTTCCTGCAAGCAGGCCGGGCCCATCTCTGCTGAGCGCCTCGAGGGGCTACAAAATATGGACAGCAGCTGCTGCTGGCTTGGGCTAGGACTGCACACAATAACTACGTGCTAGGAAAAAAAAAGCTCAGGCATTTTATGGGGAGCTTGAGCCCTATGCAATGAAGAGTACACACTCCTCTCCTGCAGCGTGTGGAGCCAGGAAAGGGGGCCGTACAGCCTGCGTTTTCCTGAGAAAATACAAGACTGTATCAAAGGTACCTACCTTTGATACATACACTGAGGAAAACATACATACTATATATACAAATATATTCCATATATACTGAGGAAAAAACCTTATACACATGTATGTATGCGTGGATATATATTTTTTTCTTTTTTTTAAATAACAGAAGTTTTCTGCTATTCCCAGCTCTAAGTTTTCCTAGGCACCCCAGCCAGTCTTTCCAAAAGGAGCACATTTGAGCCCAGCCCCTTCAGTCTTAGCCCCTAGATCCTGTTTTGTGAGCAGCCATTGCAGAATCAATACAGCCCCACTGAGCTGGGGCAGCCTATGCCCCCAAACCACACCACGAGTCTCAACTGAGGATGACACCAGCTAAAAACATTCCCTGAACCCAAAAAGCAGCCAGCCTGGCAGTTCTTTTCTGCCTTTTCCTTGGAAATTCTCTCACATGGAGGTTCCCTCTCGCTGTCCTCCTCCTGCTAATTGACAGAATTCAGAATAATCAGAATAATCAGAATTCAGACAATTCTGATTGCYGTGGAATGGCCAAGACACACGTCCCTATCCCCTACTGTTGCCACACGGCAGGGCACAACGTGGACGCTTTCTGGCAGGGGCCTCATCTTTTGGTTTTGCACCCAAATCTCAGTAAAACCTCATAGACTATTTCTCCATCATAGAACCTCTCACAAAAACCCCAAGAAGGTTCCACTAGTGGCTGAAGAAGCCCAGATAAGTGCCCAGGGATATRCCACGAGTTTCTTGGAAACACACCGGGCACGGTGCTTGCCCTGAAGCAAAAGCGTTCTCATGTCAGATGGCCATAAATAAGGAGGGTAAAGAAAATAAGAGAAGAAAAAGCAATAGCTTTACTCAACAGAACGCACGAGGAGCTGGTTTTGCTCTTTATGTTTTATAGCAGGCTCAGTACAAACAATTTAATAGCCACAGTTAACAGGAAAACATTAGAGGGAGGTTTTGGGGGGTATTTGAAGGAGACCAGCAGRGAAATCAGCAGAGATATGGAAAATCACTCCAGGTGAAGAGGCAGCACGGGGGAAGAGAGGCCAAAGCAGAAGGTTGGAAGAGATGTGAGATGCTGCCCAGATCTTTCATAGAAGAGCGTTTCATAGTTAAATGTTGACACCACGGACAGAGGCCAAACGGGTTAGTCATTCTGTAACCTCTCATTAGTCATTCTGTAACCTCTGTATCCAGGTGGTTCCATCTCCAACATCCAGGAACCAGAGCGAGGCAGGAAAGCGCCAGGGCATTCACTTAAATGGGAGCCCCAGACACAAACTAAATGACTTCCTCAAGGCCGAAAAGGCAAATCAGCACTGAAATGAGGTCCTCACTATTTCGGGAATCACAACAGCAAAACAGGACAATCTAGAAGATAAAATGGGAGAAGATGCCTGGAGGCCTGGGGACAAAGGACGGAAAAATCAGAGCAACGTGAGAATAGGCCAGGCACGGCTCTCTCCAGGAACAAGCCCAGTTACCAGCTTTCTGCTTATAACTTCTTCCATGCACTGCAAAAGAGGCAAGGCCTGCGGGAATTCCTGGAGGAGGAGACAGAAGGTCAACTCAGCAACCCTGCCCGAAAAGGCTCTTCCCATTTGCGAGCAGCAAAACAATGAAAAAGCTTCTAAAGAGGCAGAATTGTCACAGTGAGCATGAGGGGAAGAGCTGGTCTTGGGATAAAAATGAAGGGGTGGGAGAGGTAGAATGGGGCTGGATGGCCAAAGCACTCTGAGCAAGGAGAAAAGAGACTGAATGCCACAGGGGAAATAAAAAYAGGCCCTGAGAAGATGGAGCCAAGAAGAGCTGAAATACCCACGGTCATTGATTCCGTAACCATTCTGACTGTACAGATTATTGACTCACGTTGAAGAGGAAAAAATGTAGTGCCAGGATAGTAGGGATTACTGGAACTATGCAGAGATCAAAACCTAGACAACAGTTTTGACACTATGGATAAAGAAGTCTTGGGTCTTGGAACTGTTGGGACTATAAGCAGGAAGAAACGATCCCAAGTTTAGACAAGAGCTGGTTACAAGTTGARAAAAAGGAGGCAAGTGTCTCCTTTTCAAGGCAAACGTGAAGCCAAACCCATGGCCTCAAGCAACAGGAACCAGAGCAGGCAGGTGCAGAAGGCCAGTAAGACCCATCTGGCTGTACTAAACCTGGGGGTGCATCAAGGCTGCAGAAACAGCTGCTCAACCAGGCAAGCTTGCTGTGCTAGTGCTCCCCTTTTCCCTTGGATACCAAGGACTAGAAAACAGGCAGACTCCAGAGCCAAGACTATGGGCGCTCAGACGATGCAGCTTGCAGCCATGGTGAGCAGTAGACCTGATAACAATCCCAAACTTAAGCAGAACTCGGGGTAGCTGTCACCACAGGCCACAAGGGACCACTGCAGTTTATGCTGATGCTACTTATGGGCAAGAAGAAAGCAACTTATGGGCAATAACGCAGCAAGCAGCAAAGTTTTCCATAAGCCAGAACAAGCCCCGGGCTGATGATCTCTAGAAACACACAAGGATGGATAAAGGGCTCAGGCTTTTAAAATCAAGGAAGGAATCTGGTAGATGTGGGATAAATCATCAAGACAGTAGTTTAAAGCCACGTCAGAACTTTGGTTCTTGTCTCTGGACAAGTCCAACATCCACGGTGCCTGCTGCGCTAGCTGAAGATACCAGTGACACGCAAARCATGGGAAAGCTGCAGGAGCCTCCAGTGCCCCCGGAGCACATCTGCTATAAGCACTGCTGCCTCCCAGGTCAGTGGCAGGAGAAGGTGTGTGCAGCAGCACAGCGGGGCACGGTGCCACAGGATTCCCAGCATCCAAGCAGGATACTGGGAATCTTCCCAGCCTCCTYCCTCCTGCTGCCAGGCCAAGCAGGAGTGACCCTCGTCGCTCCAGCTCCCTGCACCTCGGCTGCCAGGAGCTTCCCCCTATTTCCATCTCCTCACGAGTCACCCAGATCCCKCCCTCTGCTACAGTCACGTCCTGGCAGACACTGGAGATTAAGGACAGCATTAAAGAGAGAAAAACCATCACACATTTCTATAGCAGGAGGAAGCAAAATCACTACAAAGAAAAAAAATACACTTTTCTTTTGTATGCACACACAGACTGTTATGTCTAATTCCTCTCTCTGTGCATGAGGCATTAGTTCCCGCAGGCACATACAATTCCCAAGTATGTTTTCAGGCAATCCTAAAAACAGTTGCATTGGGAAGAACTGAAAACAAGGCAGATGCAGCACAGAGCGTGAACTGCAGAGGGACTACGATTATTTGTTGATGCTGCATCCCCCACTCAGGGCTCGAAGAGGGCTTTTGCACCAGGGCTTTCTGCAAAGGGCCCGTGTTACAGCAGCCCCCAGGCAACAGAGGCAGATCAGAAACAGCAGCCCCAGCAGATCCATGCCGACTCGGTCTCAACAGCTAGGATTTCTAATACTGAACACTGAACAGTGAAGACAAGCAAGCTCTTGTCCTGTTTTATATCTAAGATTAAGGTTTAAKGCAGCAGGCAAAAGCACCATCTCCTCCTGACCAAGGGGAAAAGAAAAATGACCAACTAGAGAAGTTGCACATCCATACGTAATCCTTGCACTTTAAATYACTCCAATAAGAAGCAACATTACCTGGAACCTGAGCGAACACCAYAGCTGCCTCTATACTCRAGGAGCCCTGGACTCTGGAGAAGTGCTTGCTCCCAGTGGCTGCCAGTTGCCCCGGCTGGGTGCTCCCCTGGGCGCAGGGAAGGGGAGACACGAGCTCACCTATCACTCGGTGGTTGAAGTAGTCRGGCAGCATCCGCTCGCACACAGCCACCAGCAGCCAAAAGGCTTCCTCCTCCTTGGCATACAGCAGCAACACGGAGGTCAGAATATTCATGGACTTGCAAGGGCAAAGAAGAAAACGGGGTTAGTGACATCGAATCTTATTGCGGGGGCGGGGGAAGCTAAGTTGTGGCTATTTTTTAAATAAAAATAGCACCCTACCATAAAGAAACAAGTACAGTACCCTACTGTAAGTAAACAAGAAAATAAATAAATATAAAAAGAAACACAACAGAAGAGAGGGAATAGTGMAGTAGCGAATATATAATTGCACTCCAGGTGAGACGTGAGCGCATAACAAGTCTTCCAAGTTGATTCAACAGGAATCAGCTGAGAACTGCACAGTACTGGATGGCTCCACTGCCACGTGGGTAAGTGACCGCACAAATTCCRGGGGGCTGTTTTCCCCCTTGTCCCTCCTACTTCAAGCGCAGAGAGCAGAACCGCTCTCGGATCGGAGCTCAGCGCGCGGCAGAAGCAGCCCTGCATCCAACACACGTCCCTGGCACTGCCCGCCCCGGGAAGGTACCTGGCAGTAGCCGATCCTGGGGTTGCGGTGCGCGTAGGCGGTGAGCACGCGGCGCAGCGCCGCGATGCCCGCCTCGCTCTGGAAGGCCGGGTGCTCGGGCAGCGAGCGGTGCAGGTCGCGCTCGATCTCCTCCGTGGCCATGCAGCACCTGCCCATGGAGGCCTCCACCAGGCGCCCGTAGTAGCCCGGGTGCGCGGCCAGATCCGTGGCGGCGTCTGGGCGGCGGCGGCGCCAGGGCGAGAGCAGAGGGAAACGGGTTAGGGTGGGTTGGGAGCTTCGTGCGAGGGAATTCCCGGGCAAAGGAACGGAAGAATCATAGAATGCCGAAGGTTGGAAGGGACCTCAGAGGTCATCGAGTCCAACCCCCCTGCTCACGCAGGGTCACCTAGAGCACGTGGCACAGGGCTGCGTCCAAGCGGGTTTTAAAGATCTCCAAAGAAGGAGACTCCACAACCTCTCTGGGCAGCCTGTTCCAGTGCTTTGTCACCCTCACAGTGAAGAAATGCTTCCTTAAGTTCCTGTGGAACTTCCGATGCTTCAGTTTGAAGCCATTTCCTCTCGTCCTATCACTGTCCACCACTGAAAAGAGGCTGCCCCCCTCCTCCTCACTGCCTCCCTTGAGGTATTTATACACRCTGATCAGGTCCCCCCTCAGCCTCCTCTTCTCCAGCAACGAGATTTGCTTGCCCCCGAATCCAGGAATTTCATAAACGCCCAGGTGAAATAAAACACCAGCAGAATACCCGCTTTGATGACGGGGTCAGTACTAGCAAGGTCTACACAACAGGACACAGAGCATCTCACTACTGTCATTGACCAGAGGAAATTACTGCCAGGAGAAACGTGCTCAGCTCTGCTTATGCCAACCCAGGAGGAAAGACTCCACACACATTTTCACATTTTACAAGTGTTTGAACATGTCAGACAGAGGATTAAGGACCAAACTTGAGATCATAGTGTAGGAATGTCCCAGCTCTGCCAGATCTATGGATGAAATGAGTTGTTTTTTTCCATCTCTAGTTTCTATTATTCCTGCCAACAGGCAACGAGAAGCAGGAGCAGGACTGCTGACTTTAAGATGTCGTTATTTTGCAGTAACTCAATTTGACCRGGGTTAAGCCAATGCTTATGCTCAATCTAATTGTTCCTTGAGGAAGGGCATTATTCTACAAAAACAAGCCTAACTTTAACTCAATTACCCAGATGCAGCAGACATCTACGCTTTCTGCCCACTACATAATAACATCCCGAGAGAAAATTCTTACAGCTCCACTTAGGCATTTACTTGCACTAATCATTTCAGTGGCCGGGCATCCGTAARCCCAGAACCAGATTACCACCACACGCTGCATCCAAATTTTAATTCCCTCGGGGAGATCTCTTGCCCAAATGTTTTGCTGTATTTGGAATGAGCAGCTGGCTAAGGCCTCATCCCTAGGAGGTCTCACCTGAAAAGAGCAGCCAGAGTTTGCCCCTTAGGGATTCCGGGATTCCCATAGCCACAAGCTTCCTGATCTTCTCCGTGCGAAACATGCACACGGTCCTGCCATACTCGACGAAGTGGTCGTCCCACAGACTCTCTTTTATTTGCTCCCTAGACTGGAAACAAGAAGATTTCTTTTAGAAGAGCAAACCATGTGCATGTGAGACCTTGCACGCTGAAACACTTCATGCTCTAGAAACCCTGCAGGATGTTTCTGGGACTAGTAGACATGGGAAGTCTTTTCCAAGGAATAAATTTCCCCATTTTGGGGACTAGTAGACATGGGAAGTCTTTTCCAAGGAATAAATTTCCCCATTTTGCATACACAATTTGCCACCCAGGGGAGAGCAGAACTAATCAAAGATAGAAATTATGCATATTTACCAGAAAGGAATGGACAAAAAAGAGAAGGGGAAAAAAACACCAACCAACCAGAGAAGCAACTACTCAGCATGTACACAATACAAATGGGTATTTGTACTAATGTGATGCTACCAAGAAAAAAAAAMCAAAAAGGGAATGTTTGAATGCTACCACAGCTAGTTTATAGCAAAGTCCCCCCAAACTTACATACCTTTCCAAAGTCAAGGCCTGCCCCTCCTGACTGATGGAAGTCTGACCTTAGCGCTTCTGCAYTGAGCAGGTAGCTGCTCTCCTTTCCACACTCACTTTTGTCCTCTCTTCCCACGTCCTCGGASTCACAGTCCCTGAACACACACGTTGATCCAAACACAGGAGTGCTCTGCAATGCAGTATCAAAGGAGGTAAAAGACAAGAGGTGAACRGGTTATGTCTTGGTTACAGTGCTGGGCACGAAGAGCAGCCTCATGTTCTGGCTCTGCCGCTGTGAGGCTGTTCAGGCTTCACTGCGGCGCTACGAGGGCCAAGCTTCCCTGGATCATCCATCCGAAGCCGCTGCATGGAGGCTCTGAGCACTGCAGGCCATCAGCACCCACCACTTCCTCTCACCTTCTTCTTTCCAAAAGAAAGGAGGACAGCATGAGACTTGCCTCCTGGATAATTCTGACTGGAGTTCTTCACACTGCCAGTCATCCAGGTTGTCTGCACTCTAATAGTATCTGAGTCCTTAGGGTCCTTACCACCCTTTTGGCTCAGGAACCAGCAGGGCTTGAATCAGCAAGGGCCTGCACGTGGCTGTCCCGTTTGGGCTGGCAGGTGTGTTAAACGCTACAGGCTGCTCCATGCCAGCTGTTCTCAGAGCCAGAGAACTGTCTCAAGACCAAACGTGAGCCCCCCGGTTGCAGCATTTCCCCCCCTCTCTATGAAAACCTTCTTCCATCTAATCCGAATTTCCATGGTGACTGCTGCCATCCACCCTTTAGCTTGTACCTCCACGCAGGGCCGGCCTCCTGCCCCTCTTCTGGCCCTCCACTGGACCTGCTCTGACGTGTCAACCATCTCCTCGTACAGGGTGGGTAGGGGCAAGACCGGCCCCGACAGCACTGCAGGCTTCTGAGGGACTCCACAAGGTTTCCACCAGCCACTTCCCACAGAGTGATGAGGTCTGTATGAGGGCAGCCCCGGCCTCCAGCACATTCACTGCTCCCCCAGTTTGGGGTCTGCCAAAAACCCGCTGAGGGGCCACCCCAGCCCATCACGCTGCTCATCAATGAAGGCATCAAACAGCAGCGACAAAAAATCGACCCCAAGGAATGCAGGACAGCAGAGCAATGGGTGAACACAATGAATTTATAATAATAATAAAATAATAAATAAAAACGGAAATTGAGTACCTGATTCCTATTTCTCAAGTTGTTACAGTGCGCTGGGTTGCAGGAATTCACTTCTTTTAGCCTCTGGAGCAAGTTTTCCACCAAAGTATCCCGGTCCTTCAGCTCGATGAACTGAAAGGCAGTCTTGCTCCTTATGCTGATAATGATGGGATTGGGAAGCAGGCTCGTGTCCTCCATCTTTTCTATGGTGATTACCTTTCCCAAAACATTACAGAAAACACATCATTCACCATTTCACGTTTTCGAGTATTCTACCTGTACCAAAATGTAAAACAATGACATTTACTTGCACACATGCTTTAAACATAACTATTCTTATTGGTTTTCCTGGGTCAGACGTATCCTCCTACACGAAGCATTAGGATCTCTTTAAAAGCCCAAAGCAGCCCTGAAGTGCCCCAGTTACATTGTTTTAAAGACAACTTCTTAACCCAATTTTGGAAAGTGGAACAAAGGAAGAGAAAGATAAGAAAAGAGAGTACTGATTATGATGCAATTCAGAAGAGGATCGGCTTCATCAAATTTCATGAAATCTTCAAATTTCATCAAATCAAACTTCATCAAACTTCATCAAATAGGGAGGAGAAAACTTACTTTCACATTTTTAAAGACGGAGGACAAGGTTGTTTTGTTCCYGATTAAGTATATAACATTCCCTTTGTTTTGTATTTCTGTATCAGTGGAAGGTAGGTTGCTACAGTTAAGATATCATTTGAATGTTACTGTTATTAGTTGAGGTTGAAAGGGAAGCTTTAATTAAGAGCTCCTGACAAGCCAGTATGCACTGCAGATCAGGCAGGTGTTTGCTGACAGTCTCCTCCTCTACTCCCACCACCTTCCCATGCATCCTCCCTCCATTTAAGCTGCTCTCTGTTTTCATGGAAATTTGGCAGTTCTTCAGTGCCTCCCAAATGCCCCCTTTTCTGTCAGCCCTACAGGTCTGGGGTGTACACGAGTTTGCTAGAGTTTGTCTATGGAAGGAGAGCATCAGTCCTTCCAAGTTATACCCAGGTCCCCACAGCAGCGAAGGATGTAACACTCTTATATTGCTAGAATGTCTCCATCAGCGTCAACTTGAACATGTTTTTTTGTGGACCTGGGGCGGGAGTCTTGGAGTGATTAGAATCTGGTTGTGCAATGCTCTATCATGCTCCATTATCTGTCAACGATCCATTTTGAGGATCACACTGACTCACCCACATGCATTTTAGGAATTTTACACCCTAGTAAATCCCGGAACAAGCCTTACAACAATCCTGTAGGCACAGGGCACACAAACACCCTACTCTTCTGCATCTAATGACAGTTCACAGGTAAATCAAGTGGCAGCAGATGCCTACAACAGAGAGACAGATACAAACTTGCAGTGAAACCATCACCCCTACCTCTCTAAGTGGGATGATGACATTGCAGCAGCCGTCTTCTTTRCTGGCAAAGCAGACATAGGTGTCTGAAGCATACATCCTCCCYGCGGTGTGACAGCGGCTGAACGGCGTCCACAGAGAACAGTCCACAACTTCATGGAGCTTCTCCTGCCTGGGCAACCTGAAGAAGGCCCGGAAGAACTCGTTCTGCGCTCTGGCTTCGAGATCCCTACGAGAAAGCATCAAGAACCAGTCACGAGATCTGGAGAGACAAGGCATCAAGTGCAAACATTTCTTTTTTTTTAACCTTTTTAATCTCATCAGGAGCAAGATATAAAGAATAAAAACACTGTAAACAATCTTCATTACTGGACTACTGTCTATATGACCAGAGCGATATAAAACCAAACTTTTATATACAAAAAGAAACCATCAACACCTTCTTCTTTAACAGTTAGACCAAAAGTCATTACGAGAGGGAAGGACACTGATACATTTGGATCAGTCCTTATGTTTTCATTTAGCCATACATTTTCTATAATGACAATTGCTTTAATGCCTTCCAGTTTCAAAGAGCGAGCAGTTTCAGTGCCGAAAAGGTAACTTCCATTTGGAGAACATACTTTTTTTTTTTTCCCTCTTTCTGAGAATTGAGCAGAGATTGGACAGATTTTCCTGGCTCTGCTCCCAGTAACATCACCAGAATTCTGCAACCTGCACCCAAAAGCGATACCTTTGCTCCAGGGGCATTACCAAAGCCATGAGTAACAGAGCAGCTAGCGATGGCGACAGCTACAGCRCCGTGTCTGGCTTGCCTCCAGTCACCCATCCACAGAAACAACAGAAAAATAAATATTTATATAAACAATTTATTTCTGAACCATTGCTACACAAGCCAGGGTTGTTAGGGGTCTTTTCCTCCCTCCTCTTTAAATGAGGGATTCTGCAACAGAGCACAACAGAGCTGGGCAATTACTCTATTCACAGGCCACGGCTATTATGCCTCCAACAGCAGCTCCAGAAACTTTAGGACTTAAAATCCAACATTTTCTTTGCTGCAAGTAAATATTTCCAAACATGATTCACCTCAAAGTAAAGAAAGGTTTATAAATAAACAAATAAATAGATAAACACACACACAAACACACATATCTAAAAAAGTGCTTGACTTTCTCCCACTGAAAGCATTTAAAGAGTGGGCTGCAGCCTCGTTGCTGTAAATCCCTTCCCCTCCCCTCCCCTCTCCTCATCCTCTCCTCTCCTCATCCTCCCCTTCTCCTTACACCCGCTCCCTGCCCCAGCCCAGCTGCTTTAAAGTRAGAAAGTTATATAACCAAAGGCTCAATCTCAGCAATACGTAAAGGGTGGTCGTGGGGGGTTGTTCTTCCGCTTTCCCCCTCTCCCTTTTTTTCTTTAAATTTAAAAAACTTAAGCTAAATTTTTTAAAACCTAAGTTTTAAAAAGCCAAAGTCAGGTGAAACAGGGAGAAAGAAAAGGGTCTAGCATGAATAACAGAAAAGCCAGAAAGCACTTGAGCAGCAGAGTTCTGCTGCGTTTCCTTCGACTGTAATTATCCCCCTTAACAAGATTATCCAAGGAAAACAGACAAACGGACTCCTGTTTTTCAGCGAACAAGGAGAAACTCCCTTTGTGAAGGAAGACAAAGAATTCCCTCCGAAGGGAAACTACCCGGGCAAACGAAACTCTGATAAATGCCCCCAGTGATCTGCTATTGTGACAAAGCTGGGTCAGGATATGCCTCCGAGGTAACTCAGTGCACAAATATTTTCCATTTCTGCACAGCACAGATGAATGCTGCTGATAGCATCTGCAGTCAATGTAGGGCTGTTTTCTCCCGCTGCTCTGCTGGGAAGGTAAGTTCCTGCCAGACTCTATTCAGCTCTCCTAAGTTTTGATAATCCCTTTAAAGTTAAGAGATGCATCATATAGAAGAAAAGAATCTCAGTTAACATAGAGACTGACGATATTTTACAAGCAGACTGTTTCAAATGCTCCAAAACTCTGCATGCCAGCTCTGACTGATGCGGATCTCGCTGCATCTCTTGGGGCTGCAGGCTTCACACATTCCTTCCAACAAGAAATTCCCTAACCGTGGGCTTTTTCCCTTGTGCTGAAGAAAACTGCCACTGTATTTGAAACTGGGTGAATTCGCAGAGCAGTTTTCTTTGTGGCAGAGCAACCCGCTCCGCTCGGCCAACATCGCAGAGCCGGCGACTCACTCACGCAGGTCATCCTTCCAAGAAAAGTGCTGGAAGAGGGCACGACTCTTGGGAAGGCGGCATCCAGGGAAGAGAAACGGTGGCTGAGGAATGAGATACTGCCCYGGCAGGGGTTTTGTTGGGAAGTGGCTCACGCTGGTTCCATCTCCTGCTAGGTGGGCAGATGCAAGGGCTTCTGGTGAGTGCTTCCCTCCCTAAGTATAAGCAAGTACTGCAGCTTGTCAAGAGAATTAAAAAATAAATTTAAAAAAAATWAAAAAAAATCAACACCTGAAACACCTGTTTTTTTTTTTTTTTAATTAAAAATAAGATGGAAAATTCTTTAATTTTACAGCAAAGCTTCAGCAACTGGTCCAGGTCACTGGCTCCTACAACCTCCATCCGAGTTCCAGAATACCTCTAACACTGAACAGGATTTTCTACCTCKGGCCCAAGCTGTTTGAAATGTTCCTCTTGGCTTTTGAACCAAATGTGCTGAACTGATACCTAAGAAAACAAGGAAAGCTAACATATTAATACATGCTATTAATAACAGCAYATAAATAATATTTATCGTGTRTATAARCATACACCAGAAGAATAAGAAACATAGAGAAAATGCTTTTATTTCCTACTTTTCCGAGAGGTGAGCAGGCTCCCTCCTCCAGTCTCCTTTTAAACACAGCTGCAATGAATACAGCTGCATCCCGAGCTGCATGGATGGGATTCTCAGATTATCCCTGATTCCAGCACGTACGAGGCCAGTGCAAAGGCTGAACTGCAGTAACTCTCTGTGCCTGACCCGCGTGTCACTTTAGCAGAGTTTTAAACTAAAGGAAGTTAGGCAGAAGCCTAAAAATGCACCTCAGGATCAGGGCACTTGTCCCTGTCCTCGCTGTTGATGGCTTTTGCTCCGCTGCTGTGGGCTTGGCAAGWGTCGCGCGCGCCGGGATCAGATCCCATCCCCTGGGGCTGCGGGAATGGGAGGGAAAAAACAAGCCCCTAAATGACCTGGAATCCAGCTGGCCTCTCYCTTGGCAGAACCGGCACCACCAGGTGCTCTCCTTGCTCGTCAGGCTCCAGAAAGGGGCAGATTTTGAACACAACCCACTCAGCAACGTTCGCCGTGTTTATCCGGAGAGCCGCTAAATCCCTGCGGCTGGAAAAGCTTCTCGTGACCAGACTTGGAAAAGCAACTGCCAGTATTCAGTATTCYTACCAGCAAGCTGAACGATGATGGAGCAGAGACCGTGGTTATGAAACTTGACTAGCGAGCCAAGGAACGGGGTCAGTATTCTGCCCGATATTCATAAACTGAAGGAATAGCTTGGAAGAAAAGAGACCTCGGGGTTACCAGGGATCATGGAAGTATCTACGAATCGCCCAAAATGCAACAGGTTGCTGTKGAGAGAGAGCAAATCTGCCCTCTTTAACACTACTTGCATAGGACAAGAAGCGACAGACTTCCTCAAGGTAGATTCCAGTAAGACTTTAGGAAGGACGTCTTAACAGTGAAACAGTGAGAGATTAGTATGGATTTGGGCATTTCCACTACTGGAAATCCTTAAAAACAGGTTGGACAAACATCTGTCCAGAACAACTCACAGATAATTCAAACCCTGCCTCTTGCCACRGGGATGGAATAAAATGACCCCCTTTCCAGTCGTATCTTCCTTCTTGCTTAAGTTCTGTGGCGTTCTGAGATTCGGTCTCAAAGAAGCCGTGTGGATTGACGTGACATSTAAYGATAGCTAAGATATTCCAGTCGGCTTCTGTTCATCTCGGGTGAACAGAAAGTGCATTTCATCTCTTTGTGACTCTGGCCAAGACAYAATTCAGGAGTTTTCTCTCTCCACTCTGCAACTGAATGACCTCCAAGGGCCTGGGAAACAAAAGTCAAGGCTTCTGGTTTTCACAGTGTAGTATATACAGATCATAATGATACTAAAGATGTCTTCATTTAAAAGAATAAATATATAAATAAAAAGAATAAATAAATATATTGAGAGGAGTGCCGTGCAAAAGAACCCCCCTCTTCCCAAAACCAAAAGTAGTCTRTAGAAACTTCCTTAATTTGACTCAGTTGRAATAATTTTAATAATGTGAGGTTTGCTGCTTGCATTTTATGGGTGACATTTCAGTGTTTGTTTCTAAACCRGGAAYGAATAAAGGCAATGCATTGGGGGGAAAAACGTCAAGTGAAAAGCAGTTGTTCTGGCAGTATGACAGCACTTYCCGAAGAAAAAGCAACAAGCAACTTCACACTACAAAAAAGCTCAACCTCCCCAAAATACATTAGCATTAGGAACCAGTCTATCCACTATTCCAGCTAGGGTCTTGCTTCATCACATTACATCAAAACAGTTACCCAAGTGTGACAAAGGGCACCAGGAATTGCACCCTATCCCCTATTTGCTACCTACTTTAGGCAGAGGAAATGCAGTTTCAGCATCTTCCAGCTTCTCCCTTCTGCCAACTCCAGCTACAGCACAGCAGCCTGCTTAGCATCTTGCCCAGAACACATTTAGCATCTTGCCCAGAACACATTTTTATGGAGGGATGCCCCCCATCCCTCCATTTAAGTTAAAACAAGGGAGACAAAGAAAAAAAAATGAATAAGTATATGAGACGATTTCTACTGCTTTTTTATTAACATACTTACTATTTTTCCAAACGTGCCACCAGGTACTTTCAGGTTTATTCCCTGGGCACCTTCACATTACGGCTGCTACTTCTTCCCTCACACTAAGCTGCTACTTCTCTCTGCAATTTTAGGACTCCCTGAGTTTTTCTCACAGTTAACACCTTTTGAAACAAGACTCTTTCACAGAAAGAGGAAACGACGAGATAAAAATCAGAAGATTCTCCCCATATTTTTTTGATCACACCTCCTCTAGCTTCAATTTCCTTGCTTCAAGGACATAATTTGTATCTATTTTTCAGTGCTAAAGCAGAGGAGTGGTGGAATAGAGAATGAAAAGCACAGAAGGAGAYTTGGAAGTGATATATTACTCAGTTAAAGCACATATCCTACATTTCTTAGGCATAAAGCCCTAAAATATTAGCAACACCCACCTATACACACATTTTAAAAACCAATCACAGCCACTGTGTCTAAAGGAATCCCGGCTCTGGCAACAAGCCCABGAGAAGTCTGCAGCTGATCACTACGGTATCAATCTAACAAACATCTCAAAATGAATTTCTTGATGATGTCATGGATGAAATCCTGACCTCAACAATTTTACTCAATGGGAGTAAGCGATACATAAGCTAGAGGGAAAGTTATTTTTTTATTCTCTTACAAAACTTTTTTTTTAATGATACCCTGGAAATAACACCTGGCTAATTCTTTTACCTCTGGCAAAAGGAAGGAAAAAGAAAAATGAAAACCCGGAAAAAAAAAGAAAAAAGGAAAAAAAAAGAAAACAATACGATTCAGAAGTGGATAAGTGCTCTACTTGCATTTATTTTGGGGGAAAAATAAAAAGAAAAAAGGTATTTTAAACTAACACTGAYGCTCTAGGCAAATTCCAACTTTGGCTGCTGCATTCTGCCCACCTAAAAACTCCTCTCTACAGTTGCACTTCCCCTTTTCAAATAACAGCAAATAAAACAAAGTTCTGTGTTGTGTTCCTGTCGGAGAACAGCCACCAATTCCTCCCCAAGAATCRAGTGCATTTCTGCAGTGGGAGAGGAATGCAGAGATGCATTTCAGAGAGGCACTGCGCAGAACTCACAGGAGCAGATAAATCTCTCACCACAGCCTGTGTGGGGCTTTTGTTTGTTTGCTTTCTGGTTTTGCTTCGTTTCTACAGCTGCTTGCTGGCTATAGCAAGCACCCTGAGGAGCTCTAGGTATCAGATATGTTGTCTGTGATGGTGCCACAGGACTGGCAGCACTGGGAAAACCTACGCACGGCTCAAGCTGTAAGCAAACGCCTGGCCCTCATCAGGAAACGTGGAAGGCAGAAACTACCTGCCACAGGAATTTCCCTYGACACGAAACTGYGCTTTTAAGGCAAAAATAAGGTGTGCATCTGTTTGTTCCATATATATATGGAGTATATATGTGTGTGTGCATATCTATATGGATCAAAAATACGTACATAAATGTATATGGAACAAAGTTTCTTGCCTATAAACTAAAATGCACCTATTTGACACACTTTGGAACATTCTGAAGTCTGTTTTTTTGCCCCTGGTCAAGCAGACTTTTGAAATTTTGCCTCGCTGCTAAAGGGAACCAAAAATCCTCTTTTCCTGCAGCGCACACAAGGAAGAACAATCCACTTTTTACCTCTTCGTAATCTGAGTAGGATCTTGCAGGCCTGGATCCAGCTCAAAGATCTCATTATCCAGCAGCCTTCGGAGCGTGACATCCGCCAGCTGCTCCATGATCCTGAAGGCCTCGGTGATATTGAGGAACGTGGAGAAGTCCCGCTCCTTGGTGGCAGTGGTGACGCGCACCGTATCGGCCATGAAGACGTTGGAGGTTCTTTCCAACTTCTGGACCTCCACCCAAGGAATGACGAGTTTGACTGGAATGGCAGGAAAAAGAAACGTGTATTAGGAATGCTTCAGTTCTCAGGAATATGCAAAGGCATATACTGTTATACTATTATCTTATTCATAGCTTGATTACAAGATGTTTCTGCAGCCTGTTAAGTACTACCAGAAAAATGCCAAGAGCAGGAAGAAAAGCAGGGAAGCAGCTTACAGGCACGTGGGGAACTTGGTCCGGTTACACCTACAGGATTTTGACTTTTTAGATAAAGAGGACTCCTATACAGAGAGAATCTTTTGCACATGGACATTTTAGAAGCTTATGTAGCACTAGATCATCAGAGAAAATTACTTCYGCATAGGGATATTCCTATTTTGGTTTGGTTTCAAACTTTATTTGAGAGTTACAGCAGAAAATTTTGATATAAACATTGGTATAGACAACAACTCTGAATGCTTTCAGAGAAGTAAAGGACAGTGGTCTGTATAGCAAACACTCTGCTGAATCATATAAATAGAAACAGAAGAAACAATCAGCTTATTTTAGAAAACCATCGAAGGATGTACTTGCCTCTCRTAAGAATTTTTGGCTAGAATTTAGGCCAGGAAGGACTTTAAAATCGAAGAGATTTCGACCTAACAAGTGCTGGAAGCTGCCCAGGGATCTCGGTGTCAGCAGCCAAAGACGATGCCCTGCAACATCCCCAGCCTGTCTCGTGGTGCCAATAATAAGTAATCAAAAGGCAGGAATAACAAACACTGTCACACGTACTATGCTGATCCACGATCCTTAGTTATAGGAGTAACTACCCAAGGCAAGTTTGCTCTGCTACACGGACCACAACTGTCAAGATTATTTACAGATTATTTTTTCTTACATAAAGTACAGCTGCGTCAACACGCCAACCATGGGGAACGGTCATAAAAGAGCCTTTATGGGCCAGGTAAGGGAGCAAAGATCAAAAACAAGGTTGYAGCAGTAAGGATATTGTTCAAACAGATCAGAATCATACAGGGTCTGCAGYGCTGGCCATGGTGACAGCAACTGCAATAGGCCCAAAYGGGTCATGAAAGGTCCAAAGGCTGCCCCKTTTCAGAAAGAGGAAAGTTGTATTTAAGAAGCTAAAGACTGAGACTAAATCTGACTTTCTAACCTTTAAAATACTGCAAATACTTGTAAGTTAGATAGGAGACTTGCCATGGAGAAAGTTCTGCACGCTCCCATAAAGCAGATGGGAACCTGAAAACGGGGTTGAGGAGGGCTTTCCACCTCATTTCAACCTAAAATAAAACAGCACTTGCCAGAAGCTCAACACGTAATACTGTTGTCTATAAAAGTTACTTCAGTCTACTGTTTTGGAGGAGTTTTCTTAGAGTTAAAACAAATAAAAGAACTAATTTTACTGCAGCTCATATGTTGGTTTTCTCCTAGCCCAGTGGTGAAGACAGCAATAACTGTGATTTATCRGCGTTATTTTCTAGACCAATTCAACCAATGTTAGTCCGTAATTCTTACCTGCAAAAAAGGGACAATGAATCCTTTGTTCTACTTACAATGAGAACAAAGTTCTCAACTACTAGCAACTAGACCTGTAGTAAATCTGGRTTATTCAGTATAATTCAAGTGGTTCCTAAATGTGACAAAAACCAGCCTTGCGACCAAAACAATCATATTTATCAGAAACAGGGAGGTGATTTCAAGGCATAATGTTTCACACTGAGTTTAATAAAGCGTTTGTTAAAACAAACAAACCAAAAAAACCACTCTTTTTTTTTATTGCTCCTTTCTAGGCAAACACAGAGCAACATGAAGATAGCCAAGTTGATGGTAACACCAAGTGAATGCTCTACTTTTCTAGCTTAAGATGAGAAGTCCCAAACATGCACTGGATTCGTCGTTTGATGTTCTGGGGATTTTGCTRTTGTTTTGGTTTTTTTGTTCTTTTTTGGTTTTTTTTTTTCCATTTTTATCTTGAGTTATTATTAAAGAGAAAGGATTTCTTCTTAAGATAATACAGTGTGATGCTCTTCCAGTATCATTTAACAATCTCAGGTACTGCAGAAACAAAATGTCTGGAATAATATGAAGGATTTTTCTCCTCTCTTTCCTCTCTCACTCTTTATCCTTCATTTAAAAGTATCTTTTTTTTCTGTGTGTGCTTTGGCAGGCTGGTTATCTTAGATTTAATGAGGGAACATCTGCAATGACAGCAACAAGCAGTAATTTAAAGGAAATTAAATAACGACTCAGATATGTCGTAAGCATCAAAAACTCCATTATGTTCCTTCAAATCAAATTCAACTCTTRCATTTATAGCAAACATGTTAATACTTTACATCTAACTCTGCCAATTTCTTGCAGATATGACCAAGTAACACATCTGAAATAAGGAGAAAAGCATCTCCAGCTCTAGGTATGTCCTTGTATACCTTAAGTCTTAGCACTTAATTACTATCTTACTTATTGTTACAGTAACGTGTTTCAGATTTAAATTTGCAATTTAACAATCAAACACACGCCACCAACACAACCTTCTCCTAATTGTTTTAAATGACAATTCTTGCTAGGTACATTTTTACTACCCTTGCTGAAGATACAGAATATCCAGAACTCACAAAAATATCAGTTTGAGTACCCTCTTATGAAACAGAGGAATGCCTCACATTTCAACAGCTACATGTGTCATGACCAAGGTCGTACAATCAGCTTCCTAACGTATGCATTTATATTTTTAGTCACCATCTCATGCAAATTTGCCACTTTGTGAAGACCTTACAACCCTGGAACGCCCTTGCTTTAACTTTTCTGTGCTGGTGATCTGAAATGCGTGGACAAGAAAGCTGCCCTGTTTCACTTGAAGACATTGAATTTTCMCCACGACACAGCTTTGTTTCCTGTTCTATTAGCTAAGCTCACAGTTCTGGTTGCAGGCTTTCTTAGACAACCAGCACTTCCTTTGCTGTCTTGCTGTCTATTCCTGCACTACCAACAGCTGTGTTAAAAGCAGCTATTATTGTGCTCCTACGTACATGGGAGGGACTGCTCCTTGGTGACCACTCTCAGCATTAAAACCATCTATTTAAGCATCTGTAGGAGGCCTCTTACATCTTAAATCTGCTTAATATAAATAAAAAAAAATAACAGCTGTATCTACACACTTCTATATACTCATTTTTATGTTCATATTTTGGTTCTAATCTGGTAAAGGATGAAGTGAAAAACAAAGTAAAATAGTTCATCCAAACAAAAAGCCCCTAGAATATGTGTTTCTGCTCTAAAGTTTTTTTTATTAAAAAAAGTAACTGCTTTTGCATTAAGTTATATTTACATCTTTGCACAGCATTAGATTTCTTAGCYATTTATACTTACATTCTTTGCCCAGGAAGAAGGAATAAAAGCAGAGATGATTGATGCTCAAATAAAGCCAGCCCTGCCGAGGGACTTTTCCTTTCCAACAGCAGCAGGAATAATAGGTGATCAGCTTCTCTGCTTCGGGAAAATTAAATCTGGATTCAAATTTCACCAGGGCTTCTCGGAACTTTTCAGGATCTTCCTCCTGCTCCGCCAGTTTGCTGCTGGTTTCCTCTGCAATCAGAGCCTGATTCAAAAACAGGATAACATATTATGATAGACCCGCAGGATTCGCATTCAGATGAGTTACTACMAGCTGCCCATTCACACTGCAAAGAGCAGAGCGCTCTCCTACAAGGAAACTGAGGTTGGTTTCCAAGTTTCACAAAGGAATACATTTCTGTAGCCTCTCTCATGCATGTCCTARGCTTTTTCCATCAAGACTCCATGCAATTATCTGCCCCTGCCCCACAGGGAGCCTAGCAGGTAGATTTGCAGTTTCACTGCTGCTTGTAATCCCTGTTATTGCCAAAGGTAGAGGAGTAGTGTTGTATTCTGATCAATACTATTTTCCTGCAACGAAGCAACACAACGAAAGGCATCAGTAACTTGCAACATGCCTTAAACCATTAGAACCATGACTTAAGAACACCTACACAGGCGTGATTAAGTGCTGAGAATTTTAATAGCAGTATTACTAGAAAGAAGGCAAACTCACATTGCACCACTCCGATAAGTAAGCTGCATATTACAGCACCCGAGGAGAGCTGCAATCGCCATCCCAGCCTGCCAAAAGTCTACAGGAGAGGCCAGAGCATCCCAAACCCAGCCTTTGGTACCAGCAAGGAAACCTGAAGGAGTGTCGCTACCCTGCAGCGCAGGGCAAGGCCCCAGCGTGCTCGGACACGGCTCTGTACTAAGGAACCCTGCACCACTAGCAGCAGTCAGGGAAGCTTTTCAGCAGAGCACAGGGCAGGGCAGTCAAGTTTTGCTCCGGCTTTCCTAAAGCGAGCMGATTYGTGCAGTGCYGGTGTCTCTCCTGCCCGTGCTCCCCAGCTCCAGAGCCAACGAGGCCGCGACAGCAGGGCTGTCATCAGCCAAGAGCACCGTGTTCCCACGCGCTTCCCGAAGCAAAGAAGGGGGTAGAGAAGAGCATCTTACGAAAACTTTTCCCAAGGAAAAAGCTGCAGCCAGACACGACTTATGGTGCCCAGAAGGCCTGCACAGATTTCAGGCACTGCCAAAKGTGTCTTTATTTTATGAGATGCTGTGCAGCAGAGGCCAGGCTTTGAGCGGAGCAAGGGGCCTGCTCTCCCTGCGCCCCGCGGACACAAGTGGCCAGGAGAGGTGGATGGGATAAAGCTGGGAAAAAATATGGGAGAGGTAAAATGCAATAAGGAGGAGAAGCTGAGATAAAAGAGAAGATGCCTAGCAATGTCTTGGGGAAGAGAACRAATGAAGAGCAGGYTTCAAGGAAGCACGACAAAGTTCSCTTACCTTCACTTTCCCCTTGACAAAACTAACGATATCTTCTTTATTGTCAAACACAGACAGAGTGTGGAGCAAGTTTTGTTCCAGCCATTCCCAGTGCTGGTTTATCTCCTCTACGGTGGCACCTAGAAAAGCAAAATTAATCCATTGAAATGCACACTCTAAAACAGAATTGAAAGAAAAAAAGAAAAGGCAATAAAACACATTTCATAAATTCATTAACAGATACTGAACTTTCAACCTCAAAACTGTCAGTAGCAAACAAGTCAAAAAAATCTAATATGTAACAGTAAAGTTATGGGAAAAAATATTGCTTGGCGTGAGAATTGGGTTCAATCTTTTTATTTTTACTATCTTCACAAAAGTTTGCGGACAGCAAATGCTTCATTAGAAGTCAAAGCAGAACAAAACAGCAGCAAAACTTTTAATCAATCTGTTAAAACACAGCTCATTTTGACAGGACATTCCTCAAGCAGCCAGCATAAACATTGGTGTTATTCCCAAAACTCCCTAACACTTCCTTCTCCTTCCTTTTGTGTGCACACTCATGCCACACACACTTTGAGGGGAAGTTGCACAGTCATAATTTGTATCTTATTTGAAAATAATAAAAAAAAAAAAACCTGTAGTAATTAAAGCACCTAAAAATGAAGGTGTTCAGTTTAGTACTTAAAAGACTGACAAAAATAAGTTTGTGCAGTCCAGGGCACCATACAGTGAAGAGAAAAATCTTAGGGAAAAAAAAAATGTGGGATTTAAGAGGTTTGTCAGATTTAAGGGGTTCACACTAAATCCAGAAATAATGTATGAGCCGCTGGCTAGTGTTGGCTGTTTCTGCTTAAAAGTGACTTATGGTGGCATCTTATGGGATCCTATGACAGAAGGACAGAAAAGTTGGTGCARAAGAGGCAAAAYGCAGGAATATTAGGAGAAAATCTGGCTGCTCTAGCTCTTTCGGGTTCASTGATTAAATATTATATATATATATGTAAAGTATATATAGGTAAAAAATGTAAAGGCAGCAAAGGCTGCTTTTTCCTACTGTCTCTGTAGTGGAAAAGGGTAGAGAACAGTAGTGTGGCATGAAACACAAGCAGCACGGAGGAGTGCAATAAAAGGATGCATCTCCAACAGAAGACCCATTAACTCMGATTTTGATTCGTGTGTGCTCAGAGAGACAACGTGCCGCCCTACAATAAAACCAGATAAATTTAGCTTAGGATTTTCCACCTTCCTCTGCTCTATTTCCCATGCAGAACGCCAACTGGCAGGGAAACTTTCCAAGCTTGAACTTCCTTGACAGGAAGGCCTGGGGATGGAGCTGCCTAAGTATCATCAATCAAGGTAAAATAAAATTYAAAAAAWWTAATTTTCTTATAAAAAATAWTTTTATAATAATATTATAATTATTAAAAATAGCTATAAGATTATTAATTATAAGATAATTAAAGATCATTTAAAATAATCTTATAATTTTATTATAAAAGGTAATCCACATTGTCCTTGCTGCTCTGGCCTTGGCTCCAGCAGCAGCTCGCCCTCCCTGAGACTGCTGCAGTCTTTCCCACAGGTTYGGCCTAAATACTGAAAGGTCTTTTGCTCTTTTTGGACAAGCCTCCCCAGCAAATTTATGGTCCCTTCTGTATTCCTAATTCACATTTCATAGCTAATGCCGATATCCCACGTGTCCTGTCAGTCTCCTTCTTATCTCCCTTCCTGTACCTGTGCCTGTCACGGCATTTTGTTTTATTTCACCCTCTTTTCTGTGGGTCCGTGCCAAATATTCAATATAACCATCATTTCACTCCTCCTATGCTCCTCTTTTAACCTATTTATTCAACAATCACCACGCTCTCCTCTTTCCAGTGGCCCTCACTTCACTTTGCTTCTTGTGTTTCCATTTGGGCTATGAACCTTCCRAGGGGAAAGCCACGGATCTACCCAACGGCTGAGGCCAGGGATTTTTCCCCCTCCTTATTAGTGTAACAGGGTTATCYCTCTGGATGGAAGCAGCCCTGCCAACCAGCCGTGCGCGGCACGGATCAGATTTCCAAGCAGCGCTCCGAGATTTGCAGGAGGCTGCAGCGCTCAYACGACCCTTACGCACAGATTCCCGCTGAAGCCGACGGCTCCCGGAACAGAGAACTGTCAGCACRCGATTGGAAAGGGTCRTTTTAATTAACTGATTAACAAGGAGGTGGCTGATCCCAATGCAGCTACCCCGGGAGGCTGCTGGGAGCTCCCGGAGCTGCTCGGGTCCCCGCTCCGCAGCCGGGGCCCTCCTGGATTCCCGCGCCGGGCGGCTCCGGGCGCCGCGTCGTGTTCGGGGGGGCTTCTCCGGTGCCCCCGCGGCTTTGGGAAGCTCCCACCGGGGCTCCCTGCCCGAGCGCAGCACRGCCGGGCCCTGCAGCCCTCCCCAACACCCAGGCACCCACATGGAGCGGGCCAAGAGGAGGCAGGCACCGCGGCAGCACGCGGGAAGGGGCAGGRATGGGGAGAACCCAGCTTGCTTGGATGGGGCTCCGCTCCAGCCGTGCTGCTCTCCCACCCGCTCGCACCCAAGCTGGTTCCTGCCCGGGCACCCAGGCTGGGGGTCCCCAGCTGAAGCACTGGACAAAAAGCAGCYGCTTAACGTCACCCATGTTCTTAACGTCGTCACCCTAGTTCCTGCAGCTGCAAATGTCTCTTACCCACACGGTGYACAAGACAGAAGCCTCCACTTTCCATTCTGTTACTGTGACCCTCGCTTTCTTAGGATTCTCTATTCATTTAGAAGAGGAAAAGAGACTATTTTCAAAAACATTAAACGCAATTTTCTCCCAGCAAAGTCCTGAACCATTCCAACTAAGTAAGTTTTTGATTTATATTTCCTTTAATAAGGAGAACTGTGCTGCCATTGTGCAGTAACAGCATGGAAAGGGCCCGGATCAGCCCCAGAAAGGAGTATTCCRTGTGCTTAAATGATCAACAAGCCCACGACAGAAACACTCATCTTACACGCCCAGCGAAAGCTCACTGTCTTATGAAGAGTACTGCAGCATGAAGCTCCTGAGTTCTTAAATTTCTTAGTGGGGAGACATTTTAAAAAAAGGAGCAAGAGGGATTGGAAGGGGCCATAAAGCCCATGACAACTTTTCACTTCCAGCTTTTTTTCCCTCTTCACACACACCTGCCAACGTTCAAGCAGTTTTGATTTGCAGCCCTTCACTTCAGCCCCTTCAAAACACAGCCCTTGCACAGAAGCTTCCCCTGGGCAGCCCCTTCTCAGGGCGGAACATTTCCTTCCAGGACACRGGGAAGAACTACARGGGGAAATGCAAAATATCTCAGCTGTGACCACTGCAGAGGTGCTGAACAAGCTCGTAAGAACCTGAAGGAAGAGCGTGTCTCCCTGTAAGGGACTACTGTGTAGAAACAAGGACATTCAGATGCCCTTCAGCATGCCCTGTGAGGTGSCTGAAGCTCCCACCCATTTCACCTTCCTGAGGAAAGGGGCAGTCCRTGAAAGCTGCAAGACTGCAAAAGGGAACAGTGCACAACGGGCCAGGCAATCACGCACTGCCCCGGGATAAAGTARTTATCATTGAAGYCTTGCATCATCCTTTAAATGTTCCACTTGGGTTAAGATGGAGAGGTGTGAGGCATTTCCTAGTAAGCAAGTTAAAGGAGCTTCAGATGCACGCAGTGGTGAAAGCCTGCACTTCACAGCTGCTGGCTGCAAGGAACCATCACACCCACCTGAAGAGTTATGCACATGGACAGAATCACGCTCRCAAGGGACAGAAAACTGAAGCAAAACAGCTGCTTTTAGCTAAACAACCTTCATTTTCTTATTCCATCGATTAACACCTCGAGTCTACCCGAAGGTTAATTCGACTGTTAATGAAGCTACAGCCAAGGGCTCTTCAGGCTCGCTCTCCTAGGCYGGGTTACCTGGGGCTTGGTGGCCATGCACACACGGAGCATGCTCAGAACCGAGCTCGGCACGGGGCTTTTCCGTGCGGGACTCACCAATGGCTAGGGCCCAGTAAACTTCGGATCCGGTCAATAACTCACCACATGCGATGGCAGAGTACACTGGCGATCCGGGCACTTGGAGTAAGATCCGAAAGGGAGCGACCCGGGCGCTGGAATCCAGCACCGCGTCCAGGGCGCCAACCAAGCGACCTGCAGCCGCGCGCGGCGGGGAAGAAGGAGGGAAGAAGTTAGGAGCAATCAGCTTGCCCYGCAACGAGTCCCGGCGTTTCCCACAGCTACACCGTGGAATTAAAACGCGGAGCAGAACGTGAGCGGCGCTTTCCTTCTTCCACGCTCCAATTCAGGCATGTTCAACACGCAAAAGGCAAAGCGGAGCCGAAGCAMATGGAGCTGTGCGTGTTCCCGGGTTTGCCTCACGCTGACCTCACAGGCTGCCCGTGCAGGAAGCTCCGGCAGCTCCTGCTGCAGCCCGGCTCCCAGGCTGGATGCAGACACCCACAGCAGCCATGYATTTGCCTAACCTGTTCTTCCAAACCTCCCACAACCAGGAGCCAACAGCCTCGCCAGCCTGCTCCATTATCTTCCTTACACGTTCTCACAATAGCAACAAACAAACAAGGCAACTACCTCAAACCTTCCTGCTGGAAATTAATCCCACGCCCAGGACCATGGGGAGTAATTGGCCACAGACACTTTCTATCCACTTCACATCCTGAAAAAGTACCATCATGGTTCCCCACCCTTTAATGATTTCTCTTTTTCTAAATAAACCCTAATTGCCTCATCTTTTCCTTACGGAACATATTTTTCACACAGCTCATCCTCCTTCTCTGGAATCTTTATCTCTGCCTTTAAATGGGATGCTCTAAACTGGACACGATGCTCACTCCCGATAAGGTCTCAACCRCGGGATGGGTGGAAAATCRCCTCCTGTATCTTGCATACACATCTCTGTTTCAAGCTCCAGGAATATTTCCAGCAGGATCTTGCTGTAACTCAGCACTTGGCTTAAACACAGGCAAACAGAGCAGGAGCAGCCGCGGCCTCCCATGAAGACTTCCCARCACAGCTGCTGGAAGCTGGCGGCCCTTCCCTGCACCTCCCCGAATGGCGCACACAAAAGCCCTCCCAACGCC